ATAAACACGACGCAACGCTCAGTGGCCACGCCAGCTAAGCCATACACACTAGACCTCCCAGCAGCAACAACGTGGCGCCAGAAGAGGCCGCCTCACGTTTTAGTCTAAAAACTGGCTTAAAGCTGACTAAGGTGGGGGTTGAACGCGCGACTGTCCTTGTTGTTAGTTGATTATTATGTAAGGACAGAGCTCTGTACCACTACGCTAATACAACTAAAAAGGTGCGAATAATCAACCAACGTTAATTATTGCGTACAGAATAGTATATATACCCGTCGCACGTAAGCACCATCTCGGCCTTACACGTAAGCGCCATCCTGGCCTTACAATATAAAGATATTAGTTAACGTACCTAACAGGTTGGCCGGCTACACAGGTTAGCCGGCTACTTTTGCTAAGCCCCTACTAAAACCACCCTATTCTAGCGCAAAACAGCCTAATTTAGCCCTATATAAAGTAATACAACACAAGATATTATTTAAAGTCTACTTCTACTACTTTCTTACACATATGCAAGTTATGCCTAGTCTAATTACACTGCCTGTATTGCCTTTAACTTAGCTTACTTTCTTTAGCGCGCACCTATGTCTTTAGCTTCTTCTTATTACTACACGCTTTAAACTTCTTTAAAGCAGTTAAACAAGCTTTACCCTTAACTATTAAGCTTTTTTTTACTTAAATTTACTTTCTTTTATGCAATCTATGTTACGTAGCAGCCTTATTTACTACTTAAAGCTTTATAATATCCTTTTACACTAACACTAGCTTATGCGTAATAATTACTGCCCTCTTTAAAACTTTTTTAAAGGCCTTTACTATAGACATTAGTAAGCTATTTACATGCCTTTAAATTTTTACTTTTATAAGCATTAATTATAACCTAAATTTAAAGGTATTACTTAAGGTTTACAACTGCTAGAGCTTATTATTAATAAGTAGTAGTAGTAATAAAGTATGCAACTAAATGTTAAAAGCTATTTTAACCTATTCTAGGTTAAATAGAACTAAACTAGCGCCTTAAAACTCTTCTTAGATATTACTAAAAGTAATTACTGTATTATAGGCGCGTATAAAGTATAGTAGGAACTTAAGTTTTATAATATAAGTAATTTAGTTACGCATAAGATCTTTAGCTTAGCGCTTATACACCTTTTTTAAAGAAGTAAAACAACCTACATTAAAAGGCTATAAAAGGTGCAATAAGTGTAGAAGCATATAAATAGTAATAATTTTATTTTTTTATAGTACTACTAGAAATTAAGTAAGTTATAACGTACTTCACAGGCGAGTTGCTTACACACCTAAGTTGCTTACTTTTGCTAAGACCCTACTAAACCACTCTTTCTACACTAATGCATTCCCTACAACACTACTTAGACGCGCTAAAAGAATGTTAGATACAGCTTACACTCTAAGCTTTTAAACAAGACAGAAAACTCTTAAAAAAATGTGCTATAGCTATGTGCAAAGTTTTATAAAAAATAATAAATAACTATAGTACTAGATAACGTTTATAAGCTAATTCTATAGCTAAATTATAAAGGCTAGGTAATAAAAAAAAGCAGGTAATTATTAAGACTATACTTAAGCTATATGCGTAAGGAATTTCCCCTTAGATAGCATTTATAGCTAATATAGCTAATTCTTTACGCGCTAAGCGTAATCTAGGCTATGTTTATATAAACTAGCCTAGTATGTTTGTAAAGTGTTATTTAGAGCTTAAAGTAACATTTAAGCGTAAGTATAACTATAAAAGAGCTCTTTATAAGAGTTCTAGGGTAATTTAGAGTAGGTTTAGCCTTGTAGAGAATATTAAAGCTAAGTATAGCATCTAGAATAATAACACGTACAACTTTAGCAAAATAAGGTTTATAATTAGCTAAATATCTCTTAACTATACTTGCGCTTAAAACTTTACTTTAAGCTCTAAATAACGCTTTACAAACATACTAGGCTAGTTTATATAAATATAGCCTAGATTACGCTTAGCGCGCAAAGAATTAGCTATATTAGCTATAAATGCTATCTAAGAGGAAATTCCTTACGCATATAGCTTAAGTATAGTCTTAATAATTACTTGCTTTTTTTTATTACCTAGCCTTTATAATTTAGCTGTAGAATTAGCTTGTAAAAGTTATCTAGTGCTATAGTTATTTATTGTCTTTTATAGGACTTTATACATAGCTATAGCATATTTCTTTAAGAGTTTTATGTCTTGTTTAAAAGCTTAGAGCGTAAGCTGTATCTAACATTCTTTTAGCGCGTCTAAGTAGTGTTGTGGGGAATGCATTAGTGTAGGAAAGGTGGTTTAGTAGGGTCTTAGCAAAAGTAAGCAACTTAGGTGTGTAAGCAACTCGCCTGTGAAGTACGTTAGCTTTTATAGCTATTAATAATAAAAAGCTAATAAGCGCCTATAACTTTTCTTTTTATATGCTTATTAAAGTGCTTTAACTAGTAAAAACACTTAGAAACTAGCTAAGAATTTGCAGAACGCGCAGCTATTAGTATAAGGGTACCTTTAGGCTTGTCTAAAAGAAACTAGCTAGGTAATAAGGCACCTATATTAAAAGGAACAGCTACGTTATTACTAGATAGCAGCAGCCTTTAGAGACAAGTCTTAGCTAATAAAGGCTGTAGAGGAGAACAACCCTTTACTTTAGCCTTAAGGGCTTCTATCTTGTCTAGGGAGAAAAGGTCCCCCTTTAAGTACTTTACATGTTAAGCCTCTAGCAGATCTAGTAATTTTTAAATATAATCTTGTTTAGAACGCTTTTTATTCTTTGCCTCTAAGGTCTTCTAGCTCTAACATAGCATCTTTTCCTGTAAACAGAGTTGCTTCTAATTCTAAACTAGTTATTTGTCTAATAACGCACAGTCCCTAGCCTAAGAGGCTTTAGTAGACTAAAGAAGTTCCTCTCTCTCTCTCTCTAAGCGCTCCTACACAGCATTAGACATAAAGGTGTTGCACCTGTTGTTTTTTTTTACACACTTAATGCACTTATCTAAGGACAACATTAACACATAGAACAACCTTAAGAATTAGTAAGCGCTGCAGGGCCTTATTTTTATCTAGCAAAAAGGATTAAAATAAAGGGTAACATAAAGATAATAAGATAAACAGGACTAACAAGCTATTTAGTCTAAAAAAAATAGATGTTAGAGATGCCTTTTAGTAAGTAGGCGCTTACTTTATAAATAAACCCTTACTAACACAGTTGTGTAAGCAGAGCGGCAAGGACGCTGCTAGAGAGGAGGGGCAGCGTGTTACAGTCTACAGTTAGACCAGCGTAACTCCACCAGCAGTGCTCCACAATCTAGCTAGGTTAGGACAGGGCTTGCTTACAGACTACTTAGAGGGCACAGAAGCAGCACCACTGCCTGCAGTAATAGAAGAATGTGTTGTCTAATAAAAAGGTAAGACATAAGTCCTAAAGAAGCCTTAGCAAGCTTAGTAAGTTTAAGCAAGTTAGCAGTACAGCTAACACAGCTAAACTTAGAGAACTTATCTAAACTTGCCTTAGCACCTTCTATATATGTATATAGTTCCCTTATTAAACAACCTTTAGAAGGTGTGTTTAATGTTTAGTTTATTCTTTATATAAACTAAGTAGCATTTAGCTTTCTAAAAAGCTATAATACTATTTATATATCTTACACTATATATACCTCTAATTCTGTCTAACAGGACTGTTTAACCTAGCCTCTCTACTGCTGCATACAGGGCAAACCACAATCTAGTCACTCTATTCCCCTCCAGTAGCCCATTAGCCTGTACGTAGGACTGTACACCCTACCGGATTGGCCCCTACCATCCGCCCTACTTCCCCCTTAGGAACATCACAAGACCCGAGTGCTTCTGCGAAGCAAGGATTGTAACATAAAGGCGCTGCGGACAGTGCAATTAGACTAGGCATAACGCGCAAACGTGTAAGCAAGACGTAGAAGTAGTATCTAAATAATATTCTAGGCTGTACTGTACTATATAGTGCTAGAGCGGGTTGTTATGGCCATAATAGAGTTTGTTGTGGTGTGGTCTTAGCAAAAGTAAGCAACTCAGGTGTGAGCAACTGCTAATCCCTGACACACCAATGCGGCTGATGCCAATTCCCGACACACTGATGCGGCTGATGCCAATCCCTGACACACCAATGTGGCTGATGCCAATCCCCGACACACCGATGTGGCTAGAGAGGTGGAACAGACGCAACTAACTATAATTTAAACATGTTTTACACAACGCATGCTAGAGCAAACTGCGTGCAAATTAACATAAAGGTGCACTTACATTAGGTATACATTTTTTTTTAAAAAAAGAATATAAGAAACACATAAGGTGACAGAAAAATAGCGTTACCGGGGTTTATCTGAAGAAATTCTGACTAGCGCGTCTAAAAGAGGAGATTCTGCTCAACTTTTCGTTCTGCAAACCCGAATATAATAAGCAGAGCAAGCTCTGCTAATAATAGTAGAAGTAGTAAGGGCTATAACAACAGCTAAGAGGCAATAGTAAAGGCTGTAGGTGCAAAAGTAAAAGCTGTAGGAGCTGTTGTGGCTTAGAGAAAGAAGATTTCTATATCAGGAATGCGAGAAGATCCACCCTAACCCATTCTTAAGCTTGTCGCACTGTCGTGTACTTGTTGAATTCGCAGATCTTTCCTCTTCAAAATAGAAGTCGTCCTCGCTTGCAAATTTGGCCTAACCTTTCCGGATGCTGGATTTCCGGGATTCCACAATTCTCCTCTTCTTGGCATTACCGATCTTCAAGGACATGTGCCGCACAGCTTACCTGGCTATCTCTTTTCCTTAGGCAGGGCTCACAAATTAAGGATAGTCTGAAGTCCTTCTACCTAACAACTATCGCCAGATTTGCAGAACACCTAAGCCAAGCATGCGCAAAAAGCAATATGTACAGGATACGTTACAAACACTGCCTTACATATGGGTCTATCACAACCACCAATAGACCACGCGATCTAATCCTTTATCCACGCCTTCCCTCTTTACCCTTTAATCTCCACCCACCCATCAAGCACACTTTTCAACCTGTCGCTCCCCGTAACACTATATGCGTACTCAAACGCCTCCTTGCTAATATCAAATGGTCTCGCCGTAACATTGGGCACATATCTGCCAATCAATTTGCCGGGATCTATGCAATCCACACGAATGATTTGCTGCAGCACTTCCCTAAAAGCAGCGAGGTTCGAGCGCAGGAAAGAGGAGTGGAAAGGCACGTCGATGCCGACGAGTGGAATAGTAGCTTTGCCGCGGTCAAGAGTGATGGATTTTGGGTCCACTGTGATTAGGCTGTCGACGTATTTAGTGATGAGAGATTCGAGCGAGGGGGGTGGCGTGGTGGATGTGGCGAGGTCGTTGCAGACTAGTGTGAGTGTTTGCAAATTGCGCAAAGTGCCGGCACAGACGTATTGCTTGTCTTGCACGTTGTAATTGACTATCTCAAGCAGCGCTCCCGAATCTTTAGCAATAGTCATGACAGTTGCCTCGAGCTTCTTGACATCGAAACTCTTAGTCACGCGCGAGGGGTCCACTGCCATCATACCAAATTCGCTGCGTCCTTCATCATCACGTTCGACAGCGACTTGCATACTTAGGCCGCGGTAGAATACGATGGAGAGAAATTGCTCTAGAGGCATCATGTTCGCAATTGCGCAGAGAGCGGCATATTCGCCGAGCGAGTGGCCTGCATATTTGGACTTATCCGAGACGAGCCCGCGCGATACCATGTCTTCGAAGGATGCTTTCTCCATGACGGTGAGGGCAGGTTGCGCGAACTCAGTGGAAAGGAGAAGACCCTTGGGGTGGCGGTAGGTGTATCTGGGGGTGGTGGAGTTGATGTCGAAGAAGCGCTTGGTTTCCTTTGCGCCTGTCTTGGAGACCGACTCGTAGGTCATGCGCATGTAGTTCTGACGAATAGCGGCACCACGCTTACCGCCAAAGTGAACAGTCAGTGTCTTGGGGTTCTTGCGGACGATATCGGAGATTCGGAAGCCTGTGATTGATCAGCATGAGGTTTTTCACGATGAAAGACGGCTTCAAACGCTTACCATATGTCTCATCAAAGTGCTTATCTGCCCGGTTCCAAACTGCACGAGCAGCAGACGAAGTCTCGTACAGATCCATTCCCATACCCACCTCCTGGCTACCCTGACCTGTGAAGATGTAGGCTGTCTCAACCGGCTCAATCTCGCACTCGCCAACAAACACCCTCTCTTGGCTTGCCACATTGCATGCTTCAATCTTGAAGATCTTATTACCCTCTAGCATAGCGATATGATCAAAGTGCACCTCAACCCTGTCGCCGGGTTTGATCATCCCAGTGAAAGTAGCCGAGAAGTTGCGCATAGATGCGATATCATTCTCAGCGCAGCGCATCTCGATGATCGAGCGGATGATGGCCGAAGTGTGCATACCATGTGTGATCGGGCCAGGAAGACCAGCGTACTTCGCGAAGGCAGGCGAAACGTGGATGGGGTTGAAGTCCTGGCTGATCCTCGAGTATTCGGAGTTATTAGCCGGTGCAGTAAAGACGAAACCCTCCCTAGTGTTGTCAAGACATACAGGACGCTCAAACGGTAGGCGTTTACTAACTACCTTTCCATAGCGCTCAAGGTAGCCCATGACGGGGTTGCTAGTGACATTACGTGTCGCAGTGGAAAGCGAATCGTAGTGAACGGTAGCGATCTCCCGTGCAACCTTAGAGCTCGCGGAGGCGGCGAAGATCTTGCCGTTGGTGCGAAGGTGAGAGTACACACTCTTCGACTTAAGTGAGAAGAAGGTCTCTAGCTCAAAGGTGAGCGTCTGCTTGGCGAGTTCCTCAGCCTCGACATGCTCATTCCACGTGATATATTCCTTCGATAGCAGCAGGTTGGCCAAGCTAGGAGAAGCAAAGTCGACCTCCCAAAGGTCTTCCTTCTTCGTGGAGAAGCACTCGGGGAAGTCAGTATAAGTGCCGCGGTAGAAGAACTCGGAGACAATATCCATGACCGGCACATGGTTCCTGCTGATTGTTGCGCAGACCTCGACAGTCTTCCCCGTCTCGGAGATGCTAGTGGAAGTAGTGCGCGCAAAACTCTCAGTCTCCTCTCCTACCTTGAGTGGAACAGCCGCAGGATACATACGAAATTTGTTTGACAGATGGACAAGGTTAAGCAGATCGGCTTGCACAAGCAGGAGAGCCTTCACCATAGCCTTCCAGCCAACCACGATGGCGAAATCCATCGGCACATAGCCCTCTTTGTCGGTATGACGGATACCTCCACCAATGGTGGCCGTGAATTTCTCAACCATATCCTGCGTAATCAGAAGTTTGCCACCACTGGTTTTGTACGCCTGGCAGCCTCCAGGAAGCACGGGCGTCTTGTATGTTTTGCCAAGCCAGACCTTCTTGTAGAAGTCGACGATCCTGTCAGTACGCCCTTCGGTGTCTTCATGCAGCAGGGAGTGGGGAGTTTCAGGGTGGTACGAGAAGCGGAACTCAAGAGCCAGCGGCTCGGTACAGGCGTTTTCAAAGCAGTACATGCGAACGATGATCTTATTGCCATGTTCGGTCGAGATTGAGAGATCAGTTTGAGTGGTGCCGTTACTGCTCATTGTGATAGAGACACAGTCATGGCGCTGCTTTTCGGTGATGATGACAGACAGGTCGTGTGCTGGCGCAAATGCTTGTCGGAGGGGGTTGGGGATCATGCTATGTCCGCTTTTGACGTACTTGCTATTAAAGAGGGCATAACGCCATGAGAGCTTCTCGCCGGCGAGCAGATCGAACCATTCATCCGGCGAAGGAAGCTCCTTGATATCGGTAGGGATCTTGAACGTGGTAGCATTGGGCCCGGTGAAGATGGAGAGACCCTGCTGACGGACAGACTTCCGAGAAGCATGGTGACCGAAAAATTCAACTCTGGGGATTGCATTAGCATTACCAGAATAGGTCTGCTGGAGGATCCTGTCTAGGTGGCCCGCGTTGATCTTGTCCAAGATGACCTTGACGGGCTCGTTGATGTTCCGTGGCGTCGCGTAAGTGACAGCAACAGGCCCCTGCAGGATACAAGTCCTTTGCACATCCTCGTCGACAACCGCATCGACGAACTCAGATTGCCAAAGTGAGTCCTTCTTGAACCAGGTCTCAAAATTACCGTCAATAACTGGTATGAAGGGAACGGGTTTCTGGCCCGCGCGACAGCATATGGCGAGAAAGTAATCCTGGTCCTCTTGGTTGATGAGCTGCGTCTGACTCTCCTGGTAGGCATGGGCAAGGTTGCGCAGCACCTCAAATGGCTCATTGTAGTCAGCGTAGCTGGTAAATATAGGCTGTGTGAGCTCCCAGTTAGACAAGGGGAGACGCTCTTCGATACGACGGATGAAGTCACCAAAGATGCGAACATATGAGGGATCAATCCACTGGGAGCGTTTACTGAGATAGAAGAGGTTGACCATCCGGCGGGCGACATCCTGGTAAGTCATATCCACAAGGTCAACGGCCTTACCCGTTGAGAAGCAGTGGCCGAACCAGACCTTCTGGAAGTCTTTATTAAGGCGCCCAATGATGTAGCTCTTCTGCTTCTGAAGCTCAGGCAGCTGCAAGCTCTTGGGAAGCGAAAATATCTTCTTATCCATCTCAGCCCACAACTGAACACCACGGGTAGCGATCTTGTGGATGGGCTGGCCCATCTCGGACTTGACAGTCACGATGTCTTTACATTGCTGCCACATCGCATCCTCGACACCTTGGCAGGCGGCGATAGCTTCCTTGGCCGCGAGCGAGGTGTGAGCCTCTTTAGCGACCATCATGCGCGAACCGAAGAGAACACCGTCGAAGGGCATAGGAGGCTGGTTGAACCTCGACGCCCATGACCCAGTGAGGTAAGGGTATGTGTCGTCAGCTCCGCCGAACCCTGATCCTGCGATGAGGATGATGTTGGGGCAGCGCCTGATTGCAGCATAAGTGTGAAGAATAGGAGCATGGAAGTCCTCGCTAGAGTGATGACCACCTCCTCGTCCACCAGTCCACTGTAGCATGATCGGGAACTCAGCGTGCTCCTTAGCGACTCTAATAACTTCTTGAATGGCGCTCACATTGCCAGGCTTAAAAGAAATGTGCTTAATACCGAGTTCATTGATATAGTTAGCCGCAATCTCAATTGATGGTACTCCAGCCCCGAGAGTGATGCCATCAATTAAAGTTCCTTGTGAGATAAGCTTTTTGATCAACGGGATCTGCCATCCAATTTGTCGTGGCGCGGAATAGATGACGTTGATTGTAAGACCCTTCCCAGCCGGTATTAGTTGCTCAATCGTGCGAATAGCCTTTACAAAATCGTCTTCCTGATGGTAGCCGCCAGCAGCCAGCTCGACGTGGTAGCCAGCGTTGATGATCGCGGCGACGAAGTCTGGATGGATCGTAGTCGGTGTCATACCCGCGACCATGAGCGGCGGTGTACCGAGCAACTGACTCATCTTGGTGTTAACGATGGTTCTTCCGGACGCGTCAGTCAATAGTGAAGGTTGAAAGTCGCGCAGCCAGTCTGCAGGCTTCTGGCGAGAGTCAGAAGACGGCGGATTGAAGAGATCAGGCTTATATCCAACATGCGGCAGGCTTCCTTCAAGAGGCCCGGCAAGGATGACTCGTGTGCCCGTACCCTCCTTCGAGCGGTGGAGCAGAGTGCCAACGCCGCTTGTCTCACCGGGGCCAAAATCAATGATGCAAGACATGGTGGGGAAGTTTGTAGCGCCAGGCCAGTCGACCATCTCGGTGGTGATCGCTGAGATGAGGATGGGGAAGAGGGCTTCTTCCTCAAGCTCACGCAGATCACGACCAGTATTAGAGTCGTAGACGCTGATAAGGAGGTCTGAAGGCTTGACGGCGATGTTGTAGCGAACGATATCAGCTACGATTATGTTGCGGGTGTTGGCAAGGTAGAAGGTATGGAATGGTGCAGTAACCGGAAGGAACCTCGTAGTCAGAACCTTGCCACTCATAGTCTTAACTTTCTGTTGCACCTTTTTGACGCCCTCTAGCCATGATGTGAAGCTCTTCAATGACTCGGGTGGCCCTCCGCAGACTATGTTCGTAGGACTGTTGACGAGCGCGATAGCGACACGCTTGTTCTCGGGTACATGCTGGTTAAAAGCCTTGGCCTGCTTTTCCAGCTCAATGCGGGACATGTGCATGACGTTCATCATAGGAGTGGGCTCTTCTGTTGGCTCGGCATCATCCTGAACCATCTTCTGCCAAGCAGTCTTCAGAGGGAACTGTTGCTGGGAGCGACATCCTGTGAAGAAAAGAGTGACAAGGCATGATCGGAACGTACCCTTGAAGTCATCCCATGTCCTGCAAGTAGCGATGCCTGCCGCGACAACGATGCCTTGGCTATGGCCTGTCGAGCCTTCAAGGTTCTCAACGACCTCTCCGGGAGTGAGGTTCCAGATCTTGCAAGCAACGTAGAAGCTTGCGAGCTGGCCGAGGGCGATAAGTGGGAAGCTGACAGGGGCGCTGAGGAGATACTCCAAGTTTGGCGTCGTCTGGGGCTCCTTCAGCCACTTGAAAAAGTCAAGACCAAGGGGATATTGGTCAACGACCGTCTCGTCATTCAGAAGTTGCCCGAGGATCATGCTTCCAAATTCCAGTAGATTGTCTAGCAAACACCCATACGTCGCATATAGGCCTCGGAGTTCCGTGAAATACTCATGGGTGTTACCCTGTCCGCCGAAGACAGTGTATGTGGGTACCCGCTCGCTCAAGTGGGACGCTGCGAAGAGATGCGGCGTCCTTTTGCTAAGTGGCCGCTGCATCATGTGCATAGCCTCATAGTAGCATTTAATTATGTCCTGCTTGCAGCTTAAATCGGCGTCCTGTTGCTCAGCAGCTTGTCGATGGATGTCTCTGTCCCGTAGATGGTCGTTTGCTAGCTTGTCTACGATTTTAGAGAAAAGCTCCGAGGACATGCTGGTTTCCCTGTCCTCCCTGCCAGCGATGTGTCGCAAAAATTGCACAAGCATTTGAAGGTCCGAATACGGTTCTTGAATCTTCTTATCTGTGTAAGATGCTAGAAAGTCATTTCGCATGCGGCAGGTGAACAGCTGTAAGTGGCTCATTACGGGTAGCGCAAAACTCTTGCTTCCATATGTGCATTCGACGAAGTACTCCTCCTCTTCCTCCACATTCGGTCGGGGTGAAGCGAAGTTGAAATCCATATTGATGCAGCTGTTAGCAGTGTAAACGAGAGTAGAGGTGGCTCAATTGATGGAGTAAGGGAGGGTATCAAACGAACGGTCTATCTTGACGAAGGAACAAGAAGTAAGCAGAAGGCATGCGCAATTGCAGATGAACGATATGATGTAATGAAAACTAGCACATCGCCCGCTCGTTGGTCCCAATGCAATCACACGTGGGCGAGTTTGGCTCTGATTCATTATCGACAAATTTGTGCTCTTTTCTTACGACTCTTACACCGTATTGTATTATCTCAGCGCACTCTGTAGCTTTCGTTGAGGTCACTGCACGCAGACCCACTGACAAAACTCAGGCCTAACTTGCCGTACCGCGTGGCTGAGTCCCGAACGGCCCCCGCTCACCGGCTTCGGTACCTTGTTTGACTGGATGCATCTACCGAATTCTCCAGTCAGCCCATGCAGGAACACCGCAGGATTAAGGGATCCGCCAATGGCACTAGTGACTCCACTCGGTTCTCAAGTTCAGCCGAGGCCGAACGCTACCGACAACCATCTGACATGCAGGAACGTCATCGGCAACGAAAGCGACTAGGTAAAACTACTCGATACGACCCTCCAATAACATGACATTCGATCGAATGCAGTATCCACTGCCCGGTTCATCCTTCCATTCGATCGTACTTAGTTCCTGGTCTAGCTCTCTTTGGATCTGTAAATAGCATGAAAGTTGCCAGTACGTTGAAGCCTGAGATTCGTTTATTCCAGAGATTCTGTCTAGTGTCTACCCATTTCAAAGAAGCCCGAAACGCGATGTAGCACAGTCGCAGTTGACTAAGTGTCTCTACGATAGCTGCTGCAACACTACCTTCTTCAGACTAGCAGGAATCTTTAGAACCTTCGCTTCCGAATAAAGCGCGCCTGCTTTGTCTACACTATGTTGGAAGCGTACAATACTACAGCCACGTTGATCGGCATCGGCGTAAGGCTATTTCGAATGCTAAGCGTCTAGTGCTTACCATGGGCTGTGTGCTAGCTGCGGAACGGTTAAATGGAACTTCTTGTCTGCTCACGTACTCCTTGGCGTTGTCATCGCTAGCTTTAAGAGCCAGTCTGCCTATCGTTGATAGATTGTGAGCTTCTATCTATCATCATCATTACTACTTTCAAGGCCACAATCTATGCAAACACCAACCCTATAGCCAACACCATAGCCACCTACAATGGTCTTTACTGCCCCCGCATGGGTACCACACCTGCCCTTCGATCCTCCGGATTCGGTTCCTCTTCATCAGTTCCAGTTTGATGAAGCATATGGCCGCTGTCCATTTCAATTGTCTAAAAGCCCCTTTACCTGTGCACTCTCCGGCGCGACCAACCCTGTCTTGGATGTAAAACAGCGCGTCGAACACCTTGCTCAGGGTTTGGCAAAAGATATGGGATGGAAGCCTAACATAGGAAGCGAGTGGAACAAGGTCGTGAACATTTTTAGCTTGAATCATGTAAGTCTGACCTGGGGAGCGGAGTTGAGGATAATTAGCCTGACACGTTCCTCTCTCAGATTGACTACATGACTTTGACCTGGGCGATCCAACGCCTCAACGGCATCTGCACCCCGGCCAGTGCTTCATCTACAGTTGAAGATTTGGAGTTCCAACTTCGTGATTCGCAAGCCAAAGCTATCTTCACATGCGAGCCCCTCCTCCCAATCGCGCTGCAGGCTGCGGCAGCTGTAGGTATTCCAGAGAACCACGTGTACTTGATAGATCGTTCAGATCAGACTCGCACTTCTACAAACCTGTCCTGCAGCCGAAAATCGGTACAGGATCTAGTTACTGAAGGAGGAAAAGAACCCTGCTTGGATGCAATGCTGTGGGAGCCAGGACAAGGTGCTCGACAACTGGCTTTCCTTTGCTACTCAAGCGGAACATCTGGTCGCCCGGTATGCTGTCCACCCAAACGACGATATCTGAAGCCTAAATGCTAACGGAAGCGTATCAGAAAGGAGTCCAGATTACTCATCAGAACATGATAGCGAACGTTCTACAATCTTTCGCTTTGGATAGTGGCCGACGAAAACTGAAAGAGAAAAATGGACCTTCGAGAACATACACTGAATACTCTTTAGGGGTTCTACCCATGAGCCATGCGTATACACTTACCGTCTTACAGCTCGCTACGTACCGGGGAGACGGTATTCTAGTACTGCCAAATCCTGATTTGATAGCTTGTTTCAAGGTTATCTCTAAATACAGGATTTCCACACTGTGGCTTGTTAGTATTACTCTTTCTAGCCGTCCGAGGCCATCACTGACGCCATCTTCAAGGTGCCGGCCCTGATTGAAATGATTCTCAAGATCCGCAACATCGCCATCGGATATGATCTCACCAGCGTGGACAATATCGTGAGTGGGGCTGCACCGCTTCCAGAAAAGACAGCAGATGCTCTACAAAGACTATTGCCACAATGTCGTATTCGACAAGGTTACGGTAAATTGCGCATGTCGATCCTGCTTCCACTCTTGCTGATGTTTCATCAATAGGCCTCACCGAAGCAAGCACCGTTGTCTGCTGGACTCCCGATCATGATATTTGGTTCAAGTCCGTGGGATCCCTTTTGCCAGGCTGTGAAGCAAAAATCATTCTCGCAGATGGCTCAGAGGTTTCAGAACATGGTGTACCTGGAGAGTTGTTTGTAAGATCACCTTCTATTAGCATGGGCTATCACAATGATCCTCAGAATACCAATGACACATTTGTGGACGGTTGGTTGCGTACTGGCGATCAAGCGATGGTCTGCAAATCACCGTTGGGCAACGAACACGTCGTCATCACCGACCGAATCAAGGACCTCATTAAGGTTAGAGGGCACCAAGTCTCTCCCTTAGAGCTCGAGACTTTCTTGCTTACTCATCCTGCTGTCTCCGATTGCTGTGTAGTACCAGTTCCGGATGCACGCTCAGGGGAGGTGCCGAAAGCATTTGTCGTCAAACACGAGCAGTATCGCAACAGCAATTGTGACGAGCAAGTATTAAGGCACGAGATTCAGGAATACGTAAAAGAGAGCAAAGCTGATTACAAACGTCTGGCAGGCGGTGTTGAATTTATAGAGGTCGTCCCAAGAGGCCCAGGTGGGAAACTACTCAGGAGAATGCTGCGTGCATAATCAAACAGACCTTGCACGGCTCACCAAAGGCGCTGAGATGATGGCGCACTTGATGGTGTTAATGCGTAGCCAAGTTGCTGAGCTTCAAGCAGCAAAATCAAGCAGCCGCAAAGCGCAAATCACATAATAGAAAGCGGCTACAGAATGAAGGGGCTTTGGAGGTCGAGGACGGTATATGTCTGACTACTCTGAAGGAGTTCAATGCTCGTGATTGTAAGGGTGGGGTTCCACACCACTCCGCGGTCACAACCAAAACGGTACGAATAATCTACCAACGGTTGATTCGCGTGCAGAATAGAGTATATATACCTTAAATTATCCCCCTAACGTATGTTCCAGGCGTCCCCTAGCCTAATCCGGAGCTCGGAGGCACGGAGGCACAGAGGCACACAGGGGACACATGCCCATGTCTCAACTGACCACCTGCGGCTCAAAGTATACTAGACCTCCCAACCGTTACAACATGGAGCTAGAAGAAGCCGTCCTACTTTTCAGTTAAAAGCTGGCTAAGCTGTCTGAGGTGTGGGTCGATCGCGCAACTGTTCCTCGCCGTAGGTTGATTATTGGAGCTACTATCAGCCTCCACGCCCTCAGATACTTGCACCAGATGATCAGCCAGGACTGTAGAAAAGCTCTGACACTTCCCTACCTTGTTCCCGTAAAGACAGCCTGCAGTGTGCCTAGGTCGTTAGGATCCGCCTCAAACTTGTGCACCGGTTGGTTAGCAAGCAGGCCTAGTACATCGCCTACACAGATGGTGAGGCTGTATCCAAGTGAAGGAAGCCGAAGGAAGCCGAGGCTAATAAGCGTAATGATAGAGTAGCAGTTGCCAAGGGGTTAGCGTGACCACGTTGGTAGGTCGCAGAAGCGATTGCAAGCCATATACATACCCTTGTCTCCACTGTCGGAGTGATAGGCTGTTCCCTCGCCAGACGAGAAGGCCACCACAGGGTCGATATCGCCCATGCGAAAAGAGGATGTGTTCTGCTGGCCCTCGCCATCGCGTAGAATCACTTGGCAGAGATGCAGAGGCTCTGCATCTTATGAGGGGGTGTGTACAGTTTCGCCGGCAGATGTGTTGCGAATTGTGTTGCGTGATCATGCAGGTATGCGAGAAGCTGGTGAGGTGTATTCTATTCGTCCAGGTGCTGTTCTGCAGAGTATTTATTAATATATATTGTGGGAAAGGCAGTAGGAGCCATTGTTGCTCAGGGAAGGAAGGTTTCCTCATCGGGAAAGCGACAAGGTGCCCAGGGCTGATCATCTTGGCTTGATGTCTTCCTTACGGTAGCATTGTTGGTTCGGTAGGAGATGGAGCAAGTAGGTGCGAACCTAGAGAGAGAGGTTCAGGAGGAGCATAACTGACATTTCAGAGAGCATCGATGTGGCACGGTTACCCGCAAAGGTATTGTATGTTACATTAATACTGTATTACTAAGCGTATACTAAGCGTGTCTACAAGCCACTCGCTTGACATCCGTAGGCTAGCTATTTCGGAATCTTGGCGATTGAATCTTGGCTATTGTATCCTAGTACGACAGGGATTCTCTCAAAGCTAAGAGTGTAAAAAGCGTGAGGCCGATTTTAAAGGGGGCTGTATCGACTCGTTGATATGGCAGTATCATCACGCTGTAGGTAAGCATAGCGTTGTACCAGCAGACCCCGCAGCTGTCTAAACGAGAAAAAGTCAAATGGGACTAAGCGACCATACGCGCGCCGGGGAATTGTAGGATTGTAGGATTGCAGGATTGCAGGATTGCAGGATTGTAGGATTGCAGGATTTCGGGATTTCAGGATGGCAGGATTGTCGGATTTCAGGAATGCCGGATTGTAGGATTAGGGATCATCCCCCGCTTTAGCGGAGCAACTTCAGATTTATTGGCATGACCTAGTGCTGATCTTAAGGTCCACTAACACTCTTTGTAGAATTGCGACATCTGACGGAGCTACCAGCGGGCCAATAGGCGTTACGAAGTCACGTGACCCTCCATGGATCAAAAACCAACTGTTTGTGGTCTCTTATTGGAGGATCCTTGAAGGGTAGAACCTTGTTCTCTCCAGGTAACGCACCGTTCTTGGAATTTTCAAACCTCCAAAGAATCGCAGGATCGCATCTCTCACGTTGCGAAAACCTCCACCGAATTTCATCGATAACTCCGCAGGTGGACGACGACAAGCTTTACCTATACTTGAGCGCTGCTATCGATCAATCATGTCCCAAAGCACGAATTCCTCGTCAGGGGTGGCGATTGACGAGGAACATGGGCCACCATCAGAGGAAGTCAGGATACCTATGGCTGGTCCTAATGAAGAAGAGAAGGAGATTATCAACAGGCAACTTGTAGCACCAACACTGACCATTGGATATTTCGCGCTGTTTCGATATGCAAACATGAACGAATTGATCATCATGGTAATCGCGCTAGTCGCGTCCATCGCTGCTGGAGCGACCATGCCCCTTATGACGGTGCGTCTACTCAAAGTCATTCCTCTGTCGAAAAGGAATATCCTTGACGCATTTCCTTCCGTATGAATGGGCTGTATATATTCACAAAGGCCTTTAAGAGAGACCACACTCCCGTGAATGCCTATTCATTCATTTAGTTCATTTAATCCTCAACCATGTAACTAACGTCTGGGTAGCTTGTGTATGGCAATTTTACAGCTAGCTTCACTTCGTTTTCCGTCCATTCAGTGGCTGCAAAGCATTTCCAGGACCAAATCAACCAGTACACACTTTATTTCGTTTACCTTGGTATGCCTCCTTCTGGCTCCTCCTAAAGTTCAAACTGATATAGTTCTAGGTTTTGCGTCATTCATCATGTCGTGGATCAGTTTTGTCGGCTTTTCCTACTCGGGAGAGCGTATAACGCAACAGATCCGCGAGTTGTATTTACGTGCAATCTTCAGGCAAAATATCGCTTTTTTTGACTTCCTCGGCCCAGGCGAGGTCACCACGCGTATTAGCTCCGATATGAACATAGTGCAAGATGGCATTGGACACAAGATCGGGTTATTTATCACAGGAGTCTCCACCTTTGTGTGTGCCATTATTATTGGCTTCATACGGTCTTGGAAGCTCTCGTTGATCATGCTCTCTGGGACTGTAGCCCTGCTCATGATAATGGGTCTCAACGGGACTATGATGAAGAAGACTCAGACCCTTTCGATGGACGAATATGCTACAGCTGCTTCACTTGCCGAAGAGATTCTCGCTTCGGCTCGCAATGTTGCCGCCTACGGAACCCAGAATCGGTTCCAACAGAAATACAAGATCTTCCTGGACAGGGCATCCAATCACGACTTCAAAGCCAAGCTTTGGCTGTCACTAATGATCGCTGATGTGATGGCAATTCTGAACCTTCAATATGCGCTGGCTTTCTGGCAAGGGAACAGATTTCTGCATAACGGAGAATTGGGGGTTTCCAGCATTGTTACCGTTGTGATGGTGATTATGACCGCCGGATTCTCTATCGGTAGTACCCTACCACATATCCAGGCTTTCGGCGCAGCAACTGCAGCCGCGAACAAGGTATTTAACACCATTGAGCGCAAATCTCCGATTGACCCGGAGTCAGACGACGGAGATATACCGGAGAGCTTCGTGGGTAACATCGAGTTTAAAAACGTGAGGCACATATACCCATCTCGGCCAGACACTACGGTTTTGACAGACTTTAACTTGAAGGTACCCTCAGGCAAGATGATTGCGCTCGTTGGGGCCTCGGGGAGTGGAAAGTCGACAATCATAGGTCTCTTAGAACGGTTCTATCTGCCTGTGAAGGGTCAGATTCTCTTAGACGACAAGGATATTACGACGCTCAACCTGAGATGGCTCAGACAACATATGGCTGTCGTCAGCCAAGAGCCTGTTTTATTCAGCACAACGATTTATGACAGCATCGCACACGGTCTGGTCAATACCGAGTATGCCGATGCATCAAAGGAAAGGAGGACGGAGCTCATTGAGAGAGCGGCACGCATCGCCAACGCCCACGACTTCATCAGCAACCTACCAGAGAAGTACCAAACCAAGGTTGGAGAACGTGGCAACCTTCTCTCGGGTGGGCAGAAGCAACGTATTGCAATTGCACGTGCTGTCGTTTCAGACCCTAAAATTCTTCTACTCGATGAAGCTACAGCAGCCCTCGATACAAAGTTAGAAAGAACTGTTCAAGAAGCGCTCGATCGTGCAGCAGAGGGTCGGACCACCATCGTCATTGCTCACCGACTCTCAACCATAAAGCAAGCCGACAATATCGTTGTCATGTCGAAGGGACGGATTGTCGAGCAAGGCACGCATGATGAGCTATGTAGACTTGATTGCGTGTATGCCAGCCTCGTTCAGGCTCAGGAACTTATTTCAAAGATCAACACAGGTAACCGTATGTCGGTTCAGATCGATCCCGAGAAAGAGGATGTTATCGAGGAAAGCGAAAAGCCTGCTCTGGCTCGAGCGGTGACGTCCATACCATCAATGGTTGCGAAGACACCTGAGAAAGAGGAGGGAACAGATCACAGCACCTGGGCGCTTGTTAAGTTCACTTGGAAGATTAATACAGGCGAGCACATGACAATGGCGATCGGATTGATCTTCAGCTTCCTCGCTGGCTGTGACCCGGCTATTCAAGCCATCTTCTTAGGAAACTCGATCAACTCCCTTCTTTCACCAGGCACATCACTAAGCAGCCTAGGAGTAGGCTTTTGGTGCTGGATGTTCTTCATGCTTGGTCTCGTCAATTGGTTATTCCACTTCGCTCATGGCTTAACGCTCTCTAGAAGCTCAGCCCGTCTGATTGGGAACGTGCGCCAGAGCGCGTTTGCCGCCATGCTCCGTCAAGATATGGAGTTCTACGATAGTGATATGGTCACATCTGGCGCCCTCGCGAACTTCCTGTCATTGGAATCGAACCGCCTGGCCGGATTGAGTGGTTCCACACTTGGCACTATCGTCAGCGCTGTGGCCTCCGTATTTGTTGCGATCATTGTCGGATGCGCATTTGGTTGGAAGCTAGCCCTTGTCTGCACTTCCACAATTCCACTTGTTCTTGCGTGCGGTTACTTCCGAATCAAAGCAATTATTAGTATGGAGAAACGTACAAATGGGAGCTCAGATGCGGCATCCTTTGCGTGCGAAACTGCGTCGTCGATCCGCACTGTCGCTACTCTATCGCTCGAAAAGCATCTCCTCCACGAATACCATGGCAAGCTCGGCGACCAGGCCAGAGACAACCTCAGGTTTATGAACGTCTCTGGTGGTCTGTTTGCCTTATCGGAAGGCTTAATTTTACTCATCCTTGCATTCGTATTCTGGTATGGCGGTGGCTTGATGCTCGCCCAGGAATACACGGTCTTGCAATTCTTTACTATCTACCTCGCCATCATAGGCGCCGCTCAAAGTGCGGGCACGATCTTCACTTTCGCTCCTGATATGGGCGAGGCACGTAAAGCTGCTGCCCTCTTGAAGTCTTTCGTCAATCGCGTTCCGAAGATCGATCACTGGTCTACCAATGGCAAAAATGTTAACACTTTGAGCGGTAAAATCCAACTACAAGACGTGCGGTTCACATATCCCGGAAGACCACATCATTCCGTTCTGCACGGTATCAGTATCTGCGCCGAACCAGGACAGTTTGTTGCACTTGTTGGTGCGAGTGGAAGTGGCAAAAGCACGGTGTTGCAGCTTCTTGAGCGCTTTTACGACCCAACCAGGGGTGCCGTATTTGTCGACGAAGTGGATCTAAAGGACTATAACTTGCAAGACTATCGAGCTCAGCTGGCGATTGTAAGTCAAGAGACGACGCTATACACTGGAACGATCCGTGAGAATGTGCTCGCCGATAAGGAGGACGTGTCTGACGATGCAGTCATACAGGCGTGCAAGGATGGTAAGTGCATTGAATAGTGCTATGTGAGACTCACACTGACGAAGCCACAGCAAATATCTACGAATTTGTCATGTCACTCCCCGATGGCTTCAACACCCTCGTCGGCGCAAAAGGCGCCCTCCTATCCGGCGGCCAGCGCCAACGAATAGCCATCGCGCGGGCCCTCCTGCGTAATCCCAAAGTCCTCCTTCTTGATGAAGCCACATCCGCGCTCGACTCAGCGTCCGAGCGGGTGGTTCAAGCTGCCTTAGACCTGGCCGCTCGGGGCCGCACAACGATTGCGATTGCGCATCGTTTGAGTACCATTCAACACGCTGATGTTATTTATGTGTTTGACCAAGGGAATATTGTAGAGAAGGGAAAGCATGAGGAACTGGTGAAGAAGAAAGGGGTTTATTGGGAATTGGCGAAATTGCAGGCGATGGGTGCGCCGCAATTCTAATATGGTTTTCCTTTTAGATTTTCTTGTATAGAACTCATAGACTTGATGTGGATCACTTCTAGAGGATCAAGACTCCGTCTTCATCTGCTCACAAACAGTCTTCTTCAACATCTTCATGTAAACTAGCATACTGTAGGGCACACTACTTAGCGCGCACAGGGCCTCTGTAGATTAGTATTAGCGCACTTTGTAGCTGAGTCCTTACCCACTCACTTAGCATAACACCTAACGCTTAGCATGTCCCCTACGTTAATATATTAATCGCATATAACTAATACAAGATGCTAGAACTTGTAAGAGTGCAGCTTATTAACACTAATGCCGATATTAGTACTTAGCTAAAAATGCTAAGTTTCTTAGTCTATTAAAACTACAGGCTGTCCTCTACACAACTAATACTCCTCTACATAATCACCCCCACTGCCGTCTCTCTACAAATAAAACCCTCTTATGAATCTGCTACGTAAGGTCAGAACGTCTCTTTAGCTTAGGTGTACACTTAACAAAGTTGTTTGCCTAGCTCTTACTAATACGCTTTTTATTACAAATACGCTTTTTATTACAAATACGCTTTTTATTACATTTATATAGTAGTTCGTTAGCTATATTTTATACTAAAACCTTTAACAGCAGCAGGCTATATAAAGTAAAGTTAAAAATGCTTTTAATAATTTGTTCTTTCTAACTTATTAAAGTGTTTTAAGTTTAGCTTATAGTTTTATCAAGTATATCTTTAATTATATTAATATTATTAGTAAGACTTGCTTTGCTTATATTTTTAGTATCTAAGAACGCTAGTTTTTCTTTTAGTTTAATAAAGTTGTAGAATCTTCTTGTTAGGTAATTTAAGCTTAGTTATTCTAGAATTTAAAAAATCTTTTGTAATATAACATATATAATATCTTAAAAAGTAGTATTATAAGTAACTTTCTAAAAGGTATAGTATATAGTGTTTAGTATACTATAGCTTCTAATTATATACAACTTAAATAAAAGCTTTAGTTGTAAAGCTGTAGTTTATATAGCTTGTTATCTTTATACAACTTTTTAAGATGTTTAGAAGCTCTAGTACCGTAGATAATTAAAATAAAAAGTAATAAACTTGATAAAGAGATTTATTCTACACTTTTACACACTTTATATAGTATTTAATTAAGCTATAGAATACTTTTATATCTTTTATAACGTATTCTACCACCGAGACAGCTGAACAACTAAGCCGGCTAGCATGAAACACATAACGTGTTCCACCACTCATCTGCTAACACTAGTCATCCGCTGGCCCTAAAAGCTACTAAAAATAATAAAAATTACATTTTAAAATCTTAACAACACTTTAAACAAAGAACTAACAACGTTTAATATTATCCTTTTTACCTCCCTAGTGTATGCTATATAAGTATAAAAGAAACCTATATTATAACACTTAAGATGACGTACTTTATAGGCAAGTTGCTTACACACCTAAGTTACTTACTTTTACTAAGACTTTACTAAACTACTTTTCTTACACTAATGCACTCCTAACAACATTACTTAGATGTACTAAAAGAATATTAGATATAGCTTATACTTTAGGCTTTTAAATAAAATGTAACACTTTTAAAGTAACATACTATAGCTATGTATAAGGTTTTTTATAAAATAATAAATAACTAATACACTAAATAACTTTTATAAGCTAATTTTATAGCTAACCTATAAAAGCTAAGTAATAATAAAAATTAAGTAATTATTAAGCACATACTTAAGCTATATATGTAAAAAGATTTCCTCTTAGCTAGTAGCTATAGCTAATATAGCTAATTTTTTGCACACTAAGTAAAATCTAAGCTATATTAGCATAAACTAGCTTAGTATGTTTATAAAGTGCTAACTAGAGCTTAAAGTAAAGTTTTAAGTATAAGTATATTTAGTAAATATCTAGCCTATTATAAAGCTTATTTTATTAAAGTTATATATATTATTATTTTAAATGCTATACTTAGCTTTAATATTCTTTATAAAGCTAAACTAGCTTTAAATTTCTTTAAAACTCTTATAAAAAGCTTTTTTATAGTTATAGTTATACTTAAACTTTACTTTAAGTTTTAAATAACACTTTATAAACATACTAAGCTAGTTTATGCTAACATAGCCTAAATTATGCTTAGTGTGTAAAGAATTAGCTATATTAGCTATAGCTACTAGCTAAAAGAAAAATTCTTAAGTATATAGCTTAAGTATATGCTTAATAATTACTTACTTTTTATTATTACTTAGCTTTTATAAGTTAGCTATAAAATTAGCTTATAAAGGTTATCTAGTATATTAGTTATTTATTATTTTTTAAAAACTCTATACATAGCTACAGCATGTTACTTTAAAAGTGTTACATTTTATTTAAAAGCCTAAATTATAAGCTATATTTAATGTTCTTCTAGTATGTCTAAGTAGTGTTGTTAGGAATACATTAGTGTAAAAAGAGTAGTTTAGTAAAGTCTTAGTAAAAGTAAGTAACTTAGGTGTGTAAGCAACTTGCCTATAAAGTACGTTATTAGATTTTAGCTTAATTCTAGCCTCTAAATCTTTACATATTAATAATAGCTTAAGTATAAACTCTAAAGCTCTAATAAAGTACTTTACAGGCGAGTTGCTTACACACCTAAGTTGCTTACTTTTGCTAAGACCACACCCTAACACACTCTATTATAGCCTATAACAACCCGCTCTAGCACTATATAGTATAGTATAGCTTAGAATATTATTTAGATACTACTTCTACTTCTTACTTACACATTTGTGTGTTATGCATAGTCTAATTACACTATCTAGAGCACTTTTAGAATAGCTTACCTACTTTAGCTTACACGTATTTTTTTTACCTTCTTTTTATTACTGTGCGCCCTAAACTTTTTTAAAGCTGTTAAGTGTAAGCTCTTTTAAATTATTAAAGTTTTTTTCACTTTAATCTACCTTTTTTATATATATATTTTATATTATGTAGTAGCTTTATTAGCTACTTAAAGCTTAGTAATTTTTTATTACTGTCCGAACAGAAGTATTTAGATACGCTGTTAGGCGTCACGTGACATAGTCTTGTGTTACAGTCGCACGCACAAACAGATAAATATTCCTTTCCTCTGCACAGACTTAGAAAAAAGAACAATCAACACTAGTTACCTGCAACCCCCCGCGCGATGTCTACACCGTGCAACTCTCTTTGCCTCGCACGTACTTACTAATTGCAAATGCTAGCTAGCATAGAGCTTATTTAACACTAATTAGTAGTTTAAATGCTGTAAGACAGGAAGCTGTTCTTGTACCTTTCTGTTTAAAGAATTATGTATAAAAGAAATTCTTTTTTTTACTAATTCACAGGCAAGTAGCTATAAATCTTTATTTAGTTACCTAATAAAAGCAGAAAACCTGTCTGTCCAATACTGTTTAAAAGTATTATATAAATAGTAGTGCTTATTTAATGCTAGAAGGTCTGTTTTATCTTTTACACAAGGCTGTTTAGAGGCAGTGTACAACAAAAAGTAAGACAGCGCGCAACAACGCATAACTAACTACTATAAAGCAATAAGCAACACTAGCTTTATCTTTAACTAGCTAACATAACATATTAGCATATAAATAATACATACCTCTAGTAGGCATTTTAGTAAAGACTCTAACAAAGTAGATAAATATTAAAGATTAAGTAGATAAAATTAAACTATTAAATAACATACTTAAAAAAAAAGCTTAATTTATATATAGCTAACTTAATTATAGAACTCTACATATTAAGCGTAATAAATGTATAAACTTTTAAAAACTTTTAAAATAACTTATAAAGTAAAAGCTTGTACACTTTAAAAATTTTAGTTAACTATTTTTATAAAAACTAATTACTACCTTATAAAATAAGAGCATTAGTTTTAAAAAGAATAAAATAAAGGCTATTATGCTATATAAACTTATAAAAGAAAAACACGCTTTTACTATGTTATTAAACTACTATACTAAACTATTACTACTAGCGCTAGTTCTAACGCTATAGAAGATGTCTTTATATAAATTACCTATAGACTTAATACCTTCTCTATAATTAGTATAACTACCTTATAATAGCTTACTATATAAGAGCATAACTAGGCAGCTATATATTCCTGTAGCCACAGCTCTGCACAAGATTCCCTAAAGCTTATACTTACTATATATAATTTACTTACTGTATAATCTATACTAACTTCTACCTACATAAGATATTACAGTAGAGAACCTTACATTTAAAAAGGTTGTATAATTTTAGAAGGCATAAGAAAGAAGAACAACTATATAAAGCAACTATATAATATTTTAGCTAATAAGGCTATAGTATTTATTAAGCTCTACTAACACTTTATTATTTATAAGGCTTTATATATAAGCATTTTCTTTATTATCTTTAAAAAGCTGCGTACACATGTTCTACCTTTATAATATTAGTTTTAGGAAGATGTAAAAGGTTCTATATAAATAGCTTAGCAATTACTTAAATACTAATATAAATTATAACTTGTTAAATAGGCTCTAACAGCTAGCTGCTTATAGTATAAGCACTTAAGTAGTAAGAGTAAGAGTAGTGTATAGTGTGCACAGCGTACAAGGTAGGTAAAGTAAAGGTAACATGTTTCTAGTTCTATTACTCTTATCTTTCCTCTATACAGAGGAAAAGGGTGATATTTAGATGTTTACGCACAGAGGTTTGCACACAAGCATTATATAACATAGATATGTAGTCCTACTTGTGCGCAATTGCTTGTATCTAGATTATAACACTGCTACTATGTATAGACACTAGCAACTTTTCTTTTTATCTAAAAAGTTACTTTCTATATGTGTTACTTTTTTTCTGTTTATGTAGGTCTATCTAATTACATTCTACTTTTACTTTACTTTATTTATTAGAACTTGCCTTAGTAATGCTGTATATTAAGATAGGCTAGTTATACTATATAAATAGCTTTATAAATAGTATAAAGTGTTTTAGGCTATTATTATCTAGCCTTTATGCACTTACTTTATAAGTAATTTAGTAGTGTATAAACTGTTTTATGTAGAGTTTTATACTAAAATAGTGTAGAATCTTTGTGTAGGCAGGTGTGTAAAAAAGTGTATATAATAAGGTCTTTTTTTTTTTTACTTTTTTTTTTTTATTCTTTACTTTCTAAGCCTTATTATATAATTCTCTAGCTCTTTTCTTTTTTTATATAGTGCTAATAGTAACAGATACTCCTGCCTGCACACACA